AGTTTATAGTATCTATCTATTGCTATTTTGTTAAAGATTTAATAAACAAATTCAGCTAAAATTCAAATTATTTATGAATCTCTAAAACGCAATCCTATTGGTTGTGACGTCTCTGGTCATATAAATGGCGGATTGTTCACGTTCTGTGCATAGTGTTTCGCTGTGTGGTTGTGTTTCATTAATTATTTTGTGGATTTAAATAACTTATAGTTTGTATTAAACTAAAAAATGGCTTCAGAAGGATTCCTTAAAGCGTCAACAAACAATTTACCATGTGTACATATTTTTATCGATACCAAATTTTAAAAAAACGACAAACGCTTTAATTTAGCCGAATTTAAAAGTCTCAAAGCAGCATCGTAAGTAAAAATCCGTAAATTCATTATTAGTTACTCTCTCCTTAATATACTAATCGGTCTATATTGGTTTAAATTAGGTAAATAATATATAGAATTTCACTTATCCACCTTAACCTAACTTATACACATGGCTGGTTTAAAAGGAAAATATACTCTTAAATTTGTATTCTGGGCATCACGAGAACAATATGGTGATATCGGATATGTGGAATTGACACGCGAGTGTTCTTTGTGCACTGTACAAGGTAGAATTTGCCCAGAACACAGAGTCTGCCTCATCGTTAGCTTTTTGTTCGTACTTTCATTAAAATGATCCTCGCAACAAAAAAACATTGTTTTTGATTTAGGAACATCAGGTCTAGCTGATTTGAACCATAAAACTTTACGTGCATAATCATGAGGAACGGTTAGAAAGAGTTTATTTGGAGCACTTATTGAGGTATTCCTGCATCCTGGCACAAAACACCACTTATTTAGTTATAAAGTTTCCATTATGTAAGATAATAATAATAATCAATAAAATAATGATAATCCCAATAACACAAATAATGAAACAAAGCTGCGAAAACAACAAAATAAACACGAGGCACTTTGTTGATATGACCTGCTACGTCATAATCGGGATAGGCAACCGACGATACGGCTTCGGCGTTTCTGGCGGAAAATATCTGATTTGAATTAAAATTCGCTTTAAAATTATTATGGATACTTTTTTTGCTCATAAAATTATATGAAAACACCCTATTGGCGATTGGCAGGGTTTTTGTGACTAGTGCTTCAGAGGCTTTGTTCACCGCCGAACCAAACAACCCTCTGAAGATGTCAACCATGCGTGTTGGACCTCAGGAACAAATTCGGTCTAAAAAATCCGCAACTATTTGAATATAGCAATACTTTGTAGGTACTTGGCTGGAATGTTCCCACGAGCAACCCTAATGAAACAATTCCTCGCAAGGCTCAAATACTGTGTTCCATCAAATAAATCACATGCTACGAACTGTAAATTGACAATTGTAATTATAACCAGTCCTCAAGTTGCCAGATCGACACGATCATTGCCTTTTTGCCTCCATTATCGCGATCCCCGTCAATCGGAATCACTGAAAGCAATCGATAAAAACTCGTTCGATTTCCTCTTATTGATAATGACGTGCAAAAAACCATTCGAATCGTTACCAGAGCCGTTTTGTTGGTAGTTGTTGTCTGCCAGGTTGTAGGGAAAAGTTCGAGAAAAACGAGAGTTTTAGAACATATTTTGCCGCAAAAGAATTCAACTTATGATGACTCTCTCATTTTTATCTTTGACAAGAAATTAATATGTAAGTATCTTCTCTATCTCCATAACATTTGACATGGAACATGGAAGCTTTGTGTGTTGGAAGTGTCTTCGGTTCATTGGAAAATGCTTCATGTTTACCCTGTTGACTTTTCTGTTGGTCACGCTGAAATGTAAATTTTTTCTAGTCTAGCGACAAATAGCTTTGTTTATTTGTCTTCATCCACTTTACACATAGAAATAGCTTTTTACTCTAAAATATCCAACAGTTTTAGATTTTAATATACAGGGTTATTCACTCTATACGGCACGGACGTTTGCGGCTAGCCAGTTTGTTTTATGCAAAGTATTATTTGATGAATCCACAGACGCCTATCGGGTGCACATGTTAAAAATATTTTTGTAATGTACAGAGTGTCCCAAAAGCCCTAAAAGTATCAAAGTTGTGTTTTTCTAAATGAAATACCCTATATATTATTGCATT